ATCTTGCGTCTTGTTTTCTCTTGCTCCGTTTTTTTTTTTTTTTTGCGTTTGTTTTGTCTTCCCAGTTCTGCTCACTTCTGTTTGACAAACTGGGACCGAAAAGGAAAAAGAAAAGAAAAGAAAAGAAAAGACCTGCCAAAAGTGCAAACCCGGTCCTCGGTTCCCAGTGTTCTGTTTGATCGTTTCGTAGTCCACCGCCGTTGCTGGCGGAATAGGGCGAGTGTTCTCCCTTTCGAGTATGTTTTGGTTGAGTTCCCCGTTCTGGATTGTGATTGATGTCGTTATTCTTTGTCTGCCTGCGTCTGCCCGTGGATCGCCGCGACCTGGACGTGTCCTTCTCTGTGCTTCTTCCTTGTTGCTTGCATTTCGTCTATCGATTGCCGCGACCTGGATACGTTATTTTTTATTTTTTTATTTTTTTGTGCGTTCGTCAGTTTTCTCTTCGCTGTTTTCAACAATCAGCATCGTCGACGATTCGAAGTAGTCGAAGCATGGGTGGTGTTGTTTGCCTCTGAACACTTGGAAGAAGAGTTCCCCAAGAGTCGTCGGTGCTATTTGCCTTTGAACACTTGGAAAACGAGTTCCCCACGTTTCGTCGGTGACGTTTGCCTCTGGATACTTGGAAAAAGAGTTCCCCAAGTTCCGTCGTTTCCAACTGCCACCTTTGTTTCTGTAGCCTGGCCATCACGAACGAGATGGGTTGACTACGCCCCATGCTCCGGACTGCCATACCGTTGCGTCCCCTTCTCNTGGCTAGTCGCATAAATTTTCGACTTTGATCATTCGTGCCTCGTCCAGCTATCTGTTTTACATGGTTTAGACTCCACGTTTCTTTGTGCAGTTTGGTTGGGGTGGCAATNAGTCGAGATCCCGAGTTCTAGTGTTGTATGCATGTTTTTGTGTTTTCTGTTCATCATCTCCCGTCTGTGCGAGATATAGGGTGGCTAGTCGCATTAGTTTTCGACTTTGATCATTCGTGCCTCGTCCAGCCATTGGTTTTACATGGTTTGGACTCCACGTTTCTTTGTGCAGTTTGGTTGGGGTGGCAATTAACGCCTCTCTTCCGTTTTGGCCATGAACGTTCTTCAGTCTTACCTTTTGTGGTCAGCGCATTCAGCCGTAGTGTGCCCGTCGTCCTGTCCCACTGAATTTTGCGGGAGTAATTCTGGAGTCTTTTGTGTCGCCACCCTCATTCCTCCAGTCGTAATACGCGCTTGCGCGCGAAATAGAGTGGTGTGTGGCGTTGATATTGATTTATTTTGTTTTTTGTGTTAAAACATGGTGCTTTGCAGCACATCTTGCCTAGCTATATATATCCCGCCATGGTGTAACCTTATCGTTGAGTCGCCACTAGCTGTGTTTCCGCGTCGTCGGAATCACCTTTTGTCTCAACGGTGGTGTGGGGGGTCGAGTCGGGATACTCCTACAGCTCCTCTTTCCTTTGGATACACTTGTGAAGAGTCATATCTTTCGATTCATGATCCTAAATCATCAGCTATTAGTAGCCTTAGGATTTGAGTATAGAATCTGTATAGATGACCTTCAGGGTGGGCTAGTGTTAGAGAGTGTTGCTGTATGGCACAGATAGGGTACACAGTCGGTCTAGATTAAGATGGGGGACGTCAGGAGGTATACCCTCTTAGGACGTACCCCATCGGGACTTAGCTATCTGCGTGCCCCCAGGTTGAGGGCAATCCGCCTCACCTCAGACCTGTAGCAGACCCGCTTCTGCAATAACAAGCAACCTTCCCATCTCAACGTGCTCGTGGACAAGAGTGTCTACGGCAGAATCTACATCTACTACATCTAGGAGGCAAGCCACCGTCGGGCGGGCATTCCTTTAAACTTGTATATATATTAGTTTATCTCATTCTTGTGAAACAAAAAAAACGGGCGTATTTCAGCCTCGCACCGAGGAATACCACCACCCCATAATAGATAGTTTTTCTATCACTGCTGTCCCGGCGGAGACCAAAAAACGCTACCCTGATGATGATGCCTTTTCCTCCCACATAGTCTATATCGCGAAGAAGAGTCCCTCCCTGAACCTCCTCCCGCCGCTTGGCTCTACGCACGGCTCTGTTGAGTTTGCATGAGTAAACGAATGACCGGTCTTCGAAAGAAGGTACTGCGTGCGTCTCACGGTTCTCGTCAGCCCTTCCCTTCACGTACAACAAATAAAAACAGATAGCGCCCGCAGTAGTAAATAAAGAAAAATAATGTTAAATGAAAAAAAAGGCTCAATCAAGTTTGTACGAAAAATAGGGGAAAAGGGCTATAAGAAACATGGATCAATCTCGGCGGAAACGCCCCAATAAGAAACATGATGGTGTCATACCCCCATGATGAAATCAGCAATCTGCGGTGCTCCCACCGCCCTACCAAGCTGAACCAACAGAAGGATGTACAATTTTTATGCAGGGGGCAGAGTGCCGCCCAACCCCCGCCCTTGCTGCTGCTGTTGTTCACAATGAGTGCTGTACTGTTGTACTACTTCCACACGTCGCGGACAACCGTATGCTCTCCGCTTATGTACGGGTTTGATGGTACTCTCCACCCTCTCTTGATTGAGGGCTTGACGATGTGGATTGTCCTCAGACAGATCGACAGAAAAACGAGAATACGAAATTGTTGTACTGTAGTCTGAATATTGTAGGAGAATCGGGAGGATGCGACAGTCCAAGTATGTATGAAGACATATGAAGACAGTCCAAGTATGAAGAAATGGCATTTACGAAAATGAACGACTTGGGCCGGTACTTCCGACCCGAAAGAAGGGAATTGGTGGAGCTCGAACCGATCGATCCACCAATTGAATGAAATCATTTTCACCATCGGGCGACATTCACAATTGGTGCTATTTACTGAACTCCCTTGAAGCAAGGTCAAGTCCCATTTTGGGCGGCATGCGGCAATGCATTGGTCCCCACACCAAAATACGGTCACGCGGACAAGACGGAGCTTGTGCGTGCCTCCTGTTCAACTGAACGAACGAGATAACTCGACAAGAGTTGGCATCATGATGTATACAACTTTTTTTGTTGAAAACAATTCTCCTCAGTGAGCTGTACCATCATCTATCGCAAAAAACGTACCTCCTCCCGTCCCCACGTTTGACGTTCTACTACGCGGGGGGATCTTAAGTCCAAAAATCCAAGGAACATGAACGCAAAACGGACACATAAAACGGGCAAGAAAACTTCTAACCCAGTCGGTTCCAAACGTTCGCTCGGGCAGCCGCCGCCGGCGGCAGAAAAAACAAAACGTTGCCAACCGTATAGACCATTACCTCTCCGCCACATCCACCGAGTCCCCGCCCCCCCATCTCTTGCTGATTACAACCTCCTGAAACGGTCACAAGAGGAAGCTTTAGGCCCATGAAGAAACATGGGCTGGCCAAGAGAAAAAAACAATCCCATGCTGCTTGATTGAACCCCCCATAGCCAAACTTAAGTGGCACTGACGAGGACCAGCAAGACACTTCATTCGACGTCCGAGATGAGCGTTTTATTTTTATGACACGCTAAGTCGTCTAGCGGACAAAACTGGACAAAAAACATGCGCGCGCCGGGGTGTCAGCGCGGCACACATCGATACCAAGAAAAACAAAAGGGGACAACACGAAAAACCATTCCCGCTGTCACAGAAAATGCAAACCAAACAACACATCGTGTCGAGGATCAAATCTAAAATCTGCAGACCGACGGGAGTGGCACGCATACATGCAACTAACCATGAATTGCGAGTCTTGGATCAAACGGCGGTTCGCGTGCGCGAGAGTGAACACACGCAACACATGCATAAGGCAGCCGTATCTCCTCTACAAGCTCAACCTTACGCTCCCTTGTCGTTCTCTGACCACGTCGGGAACGACAAAACAGGAAAACACGTCGTCGTTAGTCAGGTCACACTCTCCGCCCATGCGGACGCGGACGGACAGCTTTGCATTTATCAAGCGAGGCCATATCACCTGCGAAAGGTTTGAAGTCTCCAAAAAACGAGAAGATCAACCATAAAAACAGCCGATCACATCATTCCCTTTCCGTCGACCGAACTCGACAGACAACCCCCCCCCACCGGATGGGCAGGCCTCCCTCTTTCGCTCATCGTCTTCGCTTCGCCCCACGGCGGCGGTAGTTAGGGCTTGCAGTTCTGGAACCACCGGGTGGTCTCGATGTCCTGCTGGGGGGGCTTCACGTCGAAGGGGCACTCGCTGCCCTCCTCGAAGCTCTTGGCGGCATCTCCGCGGAAGGCCTTGTCGCTGCCGCTGATGGTGTTTTGGCAAATCTCGTTGGGCTCGGTCATGACCTTCACCCCGGCGTACTCGTTGTTCTCGAGGATATTGCAGTACACCTGGAGAAGCGAGCAAGGAGAGGGCGTGGCGTGGGGGGGCGGGGGGAGCGAACGCGTGATTTTCATTTGTCAACGGAAGCGTGGACGGAAGTCGCGTCATGGCATTCGAAATAAGAGCAACCGACTACACAAGACCGCCCATCTAAGATTTATATCTTGAATATACCGCTTTCTCTTTCGGGTACAGCAGTTGTTAGCGACATCATGTTGAATGTGATGTGCCGTCAAGGTTCAGCAGAAAAGAGCCAGACACACGGGAAACACAAACCAAACAAGAAAAAAAACGCCGCGCGCACGCACGCACGCACCTTGCAGTTGATGCCGTACTGCTCGCGGCCGACCTTGTGCCCGCCGAGGCGCACACCGGCGCCCTTGCAGCCCACCACCTTGTTGTAGCGGATGGTCGTGGAGCTGGCGCGCGAGTCGATGCCGGCAGAGTCCTCGTCCAGCTGCCCGGTGCAGTAGTTGGTCTCGATGACGGTGTCCACCGCGCCCTCTTTCACGTCCACGCACTCGTTACCCTGTTTTTTTTTGTGGATGGATCGAGAAACAAGAACAATTGAGGTTTATGAGTGTCTTCGCTCTGCGCACGGCGTATACCGTATGACACAAGATAACACACCCCCTGGACCGATTTTCAAAGCTCGAGGACTGCACGACGAAGAGGATGCATTAACGGAATGATACATTTTCGGAAACCTCTCAACGAGACGGTTTCAACGCCGCCATTTTCGGCGCTGTGACTCTTCCTGCAGTTGAGAAATCGAGCTTCTAAAAACCGGCACGGGGGTGTGTTATCTTGTGTCATATACGGTATACACTTCATGGCACGGCTGAAGACCCTCCAACGTGGACGCTCCTTCAATCGATCGACCATCAGCGAAAAGCTTTTGCGTATCTACAGACCAAGATCTTAAAAACTTTCGAACATCAGCGAAAAAACAACAAAAATTAAAACCCGTCGCGAATCCCCCCCAGAGGCTGTGCTGAGACGTGAAGACAAGATAGGAACTACTTTACTCACGTGTGTGTCGATGTAGTTCTCATAGATGCGGGTCCAGCGGCACACGTCTGGCTCGTCAGTCACGTTCTTGTTCCACTGCTTGCTCGAAGTGCCGACGTCTGAACCCAAGCCAAAGGACAACGACGATACGGGAGGGGTGTGGAATGATATGATATCATTCCGGAACAGGAGCGCACGGGTCGGGTCAGACGCGCAGGTGTGGCCACATAAGAGAGGGACAAGGCCTACTTTATTATAGATGCTCTTTTCGTCGCAGTTTTGTGTAGCCTCCAAGGATAAGAAACACACCGTGGGAGGGAGGGATGCCTCACCCAAAAAATAATGCCGCGGCCCATCATGCACTGCTGTATAAAATACCACGACCAACAAGAATTACCTCCAAAAAAAAGGCACCGAATCAAAACACACAAAACCAGGGCAAGAAAATCAAGTTCGGACACAACTCACAGATGCCCTCTCCGTTCTTGACGCCGTGTTCACCCCCGTCGAACTTGAAGTCGTAGCAGCCGGTGGAGGTAATGCGGTTGTGGAACAGAACGCAGTTGGTGACGAAGTACCGGATGCGGATGCCCTCGCCGCCGCAGTTGTAGATCTTCATGTTCTTGATGACAACGCCGTCGACCGCGGACTTGTACGCGACGCCCTTCTCGTTGGTGTGGTCACGAGGCTGGCGGTTGCCTGGAGAGGGGGTATGACCGCAAAAGCGGGGACGGACATATTCGTATTGTAAGCTGCAGTGAAAAAAGATCTGACGTCTCTCTTTCAACATGAATATGTCTATGCACAATACAACGTGGAAGGAAGAACAAACAAGCAGCCTCTGTTCGACACCCAAAATGGTTGCGACTCCTGCGTTCGGGGCTGCCCCCCGTTTGCCATGTTTGACCGAAACACATTTTCCATCGATGTCTTGTCTCTTTTCTCTTTCACTCACCTCTGACGGCGAGGCACTTGGCACGGAAGCACTCCCTCACATTGTCTTTGTTGCAGTCCTCCTTGATCAGTCCGTCGATCGTGAAGTCCTGCACAGCAGCGAAAAGGCACAACAGGCAAATATATACGTGTCACCTAGAGCGGGGGNGGGGGGGGGGGGGGGGGGGGTCGCACGATGACATAAAATCCAGATTCAGGTCCCCTTCAAGCTCAATCAAAGGCAAAGGCTGAAGCCTTATCTTACACAAGTTTAACATAGCACCAAACCAACGAGGGCAACGTTAACACACAATGCACCATCACTTACGTTGAGGACATAGTAGTCGTGGTTGATCTCGACGCAGGTGCCCGACTTGTCCGAGCCCTTGATGATGGCGGTGGGGCCGCTGCTGGGACCCTGCAGAGTGATGGGCTGTTCCTTCGTGCCGTCCACCTGACACAGCACACGAGGGGGGTGAAGGGGGGGGGGGGGGGGGGG